GGACTCTCTTCGGTCCAAATTTCCTCTTCTTATACGGACATTGGTTGGACTGGATTAGGGCTCAATCTAACTGCCTCGTGTTAACTTAATCACCTTTTCAAAGGCCCTGTCTCCAAACGGTCACATTCTGAGGTCCTAGGGGTCCAACATATGAATTCTGATGAAACAATTCAGTCTGTAATACCCGAATGAAAAATTTCAAAATAAAACATAACATATAAGGGGCACTTGGGTGGCTCTGTCCATTAATCATCTGACTTTCACATAGACCATGATCTCTGGGTCCTGGGATGGAGCCCCAAGTCAGGCTCCTTGCTCAGCGGGGAGCCTGCTTCTCCCTCACCCTTAGCCCCTTCCCCTGCTCATGCTCTCTCTCTCTCATATAAATAAACAAAATCTTTAAATATATATATAACATATAATATTGAAAATATATTTTTAAGTGAAATAGAATACATAAAATCTGTAACTTCAAAAACTAAAAAGAGATGAATTACTTCTTGACCTACATCTCCAAATAAACTTCTCATAGTCTCACCTTTTAATACTTATATAGACCTCCTCAGTCAACATGTATCTGCAGCTGAAATGTTGCATTCTTCTTGTAGTGCCTTTCTGAGATCTTACAGACTTATGCACATCATAAGAGAAACAATATTTGCTGTGAGAAGCTAACTATATCTAGCTATTAGAGCGTTAGAGATTGAATGTTTGCATCCCCACTAAATTCATATATTGCAATTTAATCCCCATTGTGATGGTATTTGACAGTGGGTTCTTTGAGAGGTAATTAGTTCATGTGAGTGGAGCCCTCACGATGGGATTAGTGCCCTTATGAGAGACCAGAGAGCTAGCTCACTCTTTTTCCACCAGGTGAGGGTATAAGAAATCAGCAGTCTGCAAACTGGAAGACAGCTCTCACTAGAATTCAACCATACTGGGACCATGATCTTGGACTTCCAGCCTCCAGAACTGTGGGAAATATATTTATGCTGTTCATTAACCACCAGTTTGTAGTATTTTGTTATAGCAGCCCAACCTAAGACATAAAGCATTATCTATTTTTTAAACCATTCAGCTAACAAATATTATCTCTCATTTTCAAAATTATACACAAACTGAGAAATTGATGTGAGATGATAGCCTAAGTAGGAAGATTGGTAAATGATTAATTTCTTTATCCAGTATCCCATTTCTACCTCCGTGAAGGGGCAAGAGGTTGATTTAAATTTTATGCAACAGGATTTAAATGAAATCATAGAGAAAACTCTGGAAAAATAGCATATTAGTTAGAAGTCAACAAGAGATTCCTGAAAGGATGGGCCTAGTAGCATTTAATAAGACTAAATGTATGATTCTATCCTAGGGTCCAAAAATACTGGGAAAAAAATGTAAGATGTATGGCTTAACAAGAATATGCATTAAAATTTTCATTAAAGATTTTAATTGGCAATAAAGACACTGGAAGTCAATAATGTGCTTACTGAAAGTTAATATATTAGGCTGCATCAATAGAATTACAACAACCTAAGAGAAAGAGATTTATTCAAGGCTGAGTTTCATCTGAAATTTTTGTTTCTACATGGCCAGCACCCTTTATAAAGTATAATGCTAAAATAGTGACTTTATTTAACACCTTTTCAAATGAAGACTAGCAACAGGGGTTGGAAATATTACAATAAAATAAGCCTGGAGAGAGACAGAAGGGGGCTGTCCTTTGGAAAGGCTTTTGGCCTATCCTTCATGGCCCTAGGAGGGAAAAATTTTATTGACCTGGCTAACTCCTCATCTTTCAGGAAACATCACTTCCTCAAGAAGGCCTCTCTGGCTCCCAAAGCACTGGCTTCTGCAGGACCCATTCTTCTCTGTTGGGTACCAATCCTATTTCTAATTGTCAAATTGTGTTAGCCTTGCTAGACTGCAGATTCCCAGAGACGGTGGACCATGTCTGATTTGTCACTCCTATAACATTCTGTTCCTGCCACAGGTGAATGAGGGAAACACCACGTGAGAAATAGATTTGACTTTGATATGAAAATGTATTTTTCAAAAAAAAAAAAGAAAATGTATTTTTCTAATACAGTTGTGGAGAGATTCAAGAGCTGCCTCAAGAAGTGCCAATTTTTTCTTTCACAGGAAACCCTCACTAAGGCTTAAAATGGTGGTCTGCTTGGCTGGGGCAGGAGTGGATGAGGTAGTGGGGTTGAAAGCATCAGGTGGGTGACTGGCTTATATGATTTTTAGCCTCCTTGCCACCCTGAGGCCCTATTGTTTGAGTTCTGCTCAGAGAAGTTAAGCTTATTATGTCACAAATTTCAGGTAGTACATCAACTATATTATCCATTTTAGAAAACTTCTGTAATAAATTTCTACATATTTCCTTCTGTTCAAACCCAAATTTCATTCGATGTTTCTATCTTTTCCTTCTCCTCCTCTCCCTACTCCAAAAGGCTGATGATCAATATCTCCATTTCACTGTAAGGATGCATAAAGCTTCAGGAAGCATAGTAGCAGACAGTGAGGTAAGGTCAGACTGGAGACAAGAAAAATACTTCTGAGGTTCTTAGTTAGCATCAACTGTGCCAAACATAAATGCAGATTTGATAAATGACACAAAGTCATTACCTCTCCATTTCCCTTTCTGCGGATTTGATTTTTCCCTTTCTGCCTCAATTTTCCATAGAAACGGATCAGATTTATAGCAAATACAAAAGATTGCATCTTTTATTTATAAGGCAAAAATCTACTCAAATACTTGTCATTAAAACTGTGTGCTCTATAATACTAGCTATTAGAGTATTAGGAAAGCATGAGACAGCTTTGGTTATTCCTGTGGGAATTAATACACAAAGACCTTGAAAGTCTATCTCCTCAGCACAGTTCCTCAGACTGCCAATTCTGACCTTGATTACTTGATTCAGTTTGATAAGAAAGTTCTGGGATAAAGTTGTCATTTATATGAACAAATACACATGCTTGCTATCCTTTCTCTACTCCCGGACTTCCTTCTTGAGGAATACCTTTTGTAAAAGTACCTCCAGCCCTAAATCAATTCATAGGTAATTACAGAATTAGGAAAACAACATGGTATTTACTACTAGTAATTAAAATACAAACCTGTGCTCCTGGGTGGTTCAGTCAGTTGAGCATCTGCCTTTGGCTCAGGTCCTGATCCCAGGCTCCTGGGATAGAGTCCCACATTGGGCTCCCTGCTCAGTGGGGAGTCTGCTTCTTCTTCTACCCCTCCCTACTGCTTGAGATCTCTCTCCCTCACTCTCTTGCAAATAAATAAAATCTTTTTAAAACCTTCACAAACCTAACTTCTTTTGCATCTTACTACATCCACTGAGAAGTTTCTGAAAAAAACTAGATTGAGATGGGGAGTTACACAGAGGCAGGAAGGCAGGCAAGTGACACCCAAGAGTTGAGAGTACAGTTGTTAGGAGGGTACCCTCAAGCCAAGAAAAGGGGCTTCAAGAGAGCCCTCCCTGGAACAGGACTCAATATGACTGTCCTGAGGAAGTGTGGGCTCGATGGACATCAATCCCATCATGTTTAAGTTTCAGGGCACTTTCTGAGGGCTTCACTCCTTATTCCAAGGATGAGCAAGAGGAAGAGGTTATAGAAAAAATAGGAGAGTCAAGAAGTCACACAATTTTCAAACGCTTACTGTTTTTTCTTTTGTACTATGTCATGCTAGCATTTCAAGACTGGAGAGTAGATCCTTGATTTATATCTCGCTCTGGATAGCCCTCTGTTTCCTATAGTTTTAAACATAACCTGCCAAATGAGGTACTCGTTCCTACACTTAGTATAACTTCAGACATGTCTCTGAGAAAAAAAATACACGTGGGAAAAGTGTATCTATGCTAAGAAAATATTGCATGGACATACCCTTCAGAGTAGTGCTTCTCAAACTCCAGTGCGCCTCCAGATCACTGCTGATCTTGCTGACACGCAGACTGGAGTCCAGCATGTCTGAGATGCTACATTTCTAACGAGCTCACAGGTGATGCTTATGCTGCCCACTCTGAGTACATTTTAGACCACGGCATGAAAACGCAGCTTGGGCAGGAAATCTGTGCCCACACCTTCATCCCCACTCTTATTTTTCTCCCGAGTACCCATACTCTTTCCTGTTTCACTGCTACATGAAAATTTCAGGGCTGAGCTAAGTGAGTACAGAAGAAAAGAAAATATTCTAAAAATCACAACTTCAAGTAGAGCAGTAAGATTTTAAGTTGTCTCAAGGGTAGAGACATAATTTTTGATATGCATGAATTATACATACTTCATGCAAATCACTGAACAAACACAGTAGCCCGTCTATTTCTTTCCATAAATGAAGTCCTATGTCTGCATAACTTAAAGGAAGTTTATTTCATTAATGCACAGCACACCATCTCATTGTTCAGGTATCTCTGGAGAACGAAGGGCTCTGAATAAGCCGCATTTTCCAGGTAACTAAAGTTTATCTTAAGTTACCGGATATATTTATTACAGTGATTTTTTTTTAATCAAAGTCTCATGAACATATTCTAGACTTGTTAGCTGTACAAAACAAGGCTAAATACCCATCTACAATTATCCAGGGTCAACAATGATTATGCTATGGCACGACATAACAATGCTATGGGAGCCACTAAGGGCTGTTGGAACTAAGTGCTCCTTCCTACACGGCACAGTCTTCGAGCGGCCTCGGAGTCTTACCTGAAGCAAACTTCTGCTTCCTTCCTCCATGATCAGTCCTCTTTCTGCTGACTGCCCTCCTCTTACAATTTTTAATCTCCTGCTTTATTTTTCACATAATATTCTGGGAAAGATTCTGAGACCAGCTCCCTTCTCATTTCCCTTACTTATTATTTTAATAAATAAAAAGAGCTCTCTTTAAGGGCTTTGGGCTACTGGTTGCCCAAATCAGCACAATCATTCCAGCTTAAAGAAATCACACAAGTTGATTCCCGATTAAGTATCTCTTACTATGACTACTGAATACTCACTGATCCCGGTGTCCTTACAGTACTGGACCAAGTACTGCCCCATGACTCTTAGCAGATGATTATACTCCCGGACATTGAGAAATTCCTGCTTATTATGGGATGGTTCCATGATCTCCAAGGGTATATTAACAATTCCAACCACACCTGCACCAAATCTGGGAGAATAAACAAATTCTGTGAAATTAAGCTAAGAAAAAAGGAAAAGTAAATATAAGGAAAAAGGAAAAATAAATATACACATAAATAAATTCTGTGAAATTAATCTAAGGAAAAAGGAAAAGTAAATATAAAAGTAAATATAAATTTTAAAATCAGATTTTTTTTTTTTTACAAATAAATTGATTTACTTGGCTGGACCATGTCATCAAAGTCTAGCAAGTTATATCTGTATTTTGTTACATAAATTTATGGTAAACCTAAGTATGTTTGGTTTAAAAATAAAAAAAAATCTCTTAATGCATACTGTTACTAAATTAATATGACTCCTTTTCTAAACCTAAACCTTATATGGGAGTCAGGGTGGGTGGGAAGAGAAGGCCTGTTAGCATTAATCACCACTAACAATGCTTGCTGAAATAAACTAACATGACTCTTCATGATCTGGCCAAAGAGTCACTTTCTCCATCCTCATTTCATCTGTCAGGTTGGATTTGTCCTCATCATTGCAGAGGTCCATGGGGTGCTTAGTGAGTTCTATTAAAGGAACATAAGGGCTGGAGTATCCCAAAAAGTAATAGGTATCTGCCTGTGAGTCTGATGGATAAATTCAATTTTTTTCACATTTTTAGCAGCTTGCTATATATATATATATATATATATATATATATATATATATATATATATATTATTTCTCTTAATGACAGAAAATTCTGCTTAGTTTCCCTGTTTTGGGAAAGTGCATTTAGTTGTGTGGCCCTCCCAACTCCCCTCAGCAAGGCACACAAACCAAGCCTTCCCAATGTGGGGCTGCTGCCTATCATGTTTTCCACTAGTTTCCCCTTCTCCCCTGCCCTCCCTTCACTATTCATTCTGTAAGTCTACATTTGGGCATCATTTCTTCTGGGAAGCCTGACTCAACTTCCCCCAGTTTGGTTTACTACCTCTCCCAAATGCTCTTTTTTGCACTTGATGCTTGCCTCTAGCATATATTTATTCATCCACTCATTTATCCATCCATCCATCCATCCATCCATCCATCCATCCATCCACCCATGCTCAGCACCTGCCCCTATTCCAGGAACCAGGAATGCAGTATGAACAAGAAAAACAAGGTCCCTGTTTATAAAGTTTTTCTTTGATTAAAGGGTAGCATACAGTAAGGGTGACCAGATCATTACAGTTGGTGATAAGTAGTAGGAGCAAAATAAAGCAGGTATTGTAACATGTGAAGAGTGATACGGTGGAGGGGTTGATGGCAGGGGCTAACTTTAATTTGACAGATGAGGAAGACTTCCTGTGGAGGGGACTTTGGAGTTAGTGCCTAAGTAACACACCAGGACCAGCAATACAGAGATCTGAGGACAGAAGGTTCAAGGTAGAGGGATGGCAAGTATCAAGGCACTCTGGCAGGAGTGAGCTTAAGAAAGCCTGCGGTGTAGGGAGAATGCAGTGAAAGGGCAGCTAGGGAGGGGGCTGTCAGAGAGCCATGCAGAGGCCAGATCACTGGAAGATCATGGCAACCAGTTGTATTAGACATGCAGTGGGGCTCTAAGCAAGGGAGTAGCTAATTTTTTTTTAAAGATCATTCTTGCTGTTTCCACATAATACAAAAAGTATGTATTTATATGCTTGTCCCTTTCACTGGACTATAAGTTCCTTAGCAAAGGGTATCAGGGGTTCACCATCTTGTCTACAGAGCTTAGTGCAGTGCCTGGTGCATGATACTGCAATATAAGTGCTTGCTGAATGAACAAATGAATGAACTGCTAATTCCTCGAGAGTGAGAAATAAGATGAAAAATGTTCCCCTGAGCCATTCTAATAGTTACGATTATTGTGTTTGACCCCAGAGCCATTTTACTGGTCACAATTACCCTGTATGAGACTCTACATAATTCATGAAAGCAGCCCGTGGAATTGTAGACCATCGGAAAAGCACCAGAGTGTATTATTCTGGAATCCAAATAGGCTGGAGAGTGTTAATAATACACACTTATGCAGATAACTGGCAAGAACTCACACATGTAACGGTTGCACAAAATGTCAAAAGGGTTGCTTTATGGGACTATGGATTTTTCTATCCTAAAATTTCTTTATTATGCTTGTATTATTTTTAAATTGGTAAAATACTAAAAATCTAACCCTAGTAGATGGTGCAAGAAATTGTAAAATATCAAGTTGCTCAGGAAATGTATTGAAAAAATTTCCCAAAGTATACTTTTTCGTTAGAACAGGCATGCAGCTCTGCTGATATTATAAATTAGGCAGATTAATGCCTGCGCACTGATGGGAAGGGTGAACGGAGGACATGACACCTGCTCCCATTATGATTAATCACTCATCTAACTCCACAGACAAAATCTTACTGCAACCTCACTCATCTTGCCTATGCCTCTGAAAACAAAAACATACTTACAAGGACTTCAGTTTCAACTGTGGGCCCACTTTCTCATGCATTTTGATCAGGCGGTTATTACTGTAAATGAACATCCCAGCTTGGCTTTGATTCTCTATGTTCACTCCAAAGAACAAGCAGAGTGTCCTTGCTTTTCTTAGTTCTCTGGCATTATATTTAGAAAAGTTAAAAATAAAAGTTTTTATTAAATAAAAATACACAATTTACAAACTGCTAATAATTAAACTGAGAAGGTAAACATCAAAGGGACTATATGTAAAATACTCAGGTATTGTGCAAAATCTAGTGGGTACACTCAGTATCTCTGTATTGTCAAGTATTCTGCATGAACATGATGGCCATTCCAGTCAAACAAACACAAGCAATCCTTGATTAAAAAACAGGTTGGCCAACCTTAATTTCCAAGAACTAGAAAGTGCCAAATGATCTGTGAAATGTTCAGTAGTCTAATATGTACACTGCAGCAGTTTTTTAAAATGTTGATTTGACTATTTTAAAATTTAGGTATTTTTAACACCGGGTGTGATTTCTAACTTTCAGCATGTCCTCAAGCCTCCAAATATCCTATATAGATTGGAATGTGCCAAAAGACATTCTTTAGCTTTCTCTTTTTCTCCAAAGTCAAAGGTAAATCAGAGTTAATACAGCAAGTTTACAACGGCAACAGACATGAGCTCCTGTTCTTCTGACTCTGTCCTGCTATATCATGTTTTATGTGACTTCTCTATTAAAAGTGTAAAAACAGAAATTGAGACATAACAGAATATGATAGAAACAATCGTAGTAACAGGAGGCTGCCTGGAGCCATGAAAAATGCCTGGATGGAAGAACTGGAAAGACAGATCCAGCTTCAAATAGAATATAACCAGGTAACTACGGATGAGTCACTTCAACTTTCTGTCTCATCTGAAAAATGGGAATAATACATACTTAGCCATTTGGGATGCCATGAGAACCAGAAGAGAGAATAACTATAAACCTGGAACAGAGTTGGTGCCTCAACAATGTTATTTTCCTTTCCCTACCAAGAATGGTACCAAATATAATTCTTCCCCTCCACCCAACTTGTAGCTCTCCTCATTCCACTATATAGTGATACATTTATTTGAAACATTTTCAGTTTTAAATTTTAAGCAGTATTGGAAGAGAAAAGAAACCAGGACCAACCCGCCAGAGGCTTGTGTCTGCCAAAGGACACAGAGAAAGTGGTCAGCCGATCCTCTGGGCAGAGAGCACTTCCTCAACTGGACACTGAGCTAATTTTGCACTTGGTGCATGCAAATACATATTTTATAAATACTCTCATTGATTATGTGGTTTGGGGATTTTGACCACATTATGCTTAATATAATAAGATGTCATAAGCTGAGAAAGAGAAGTTACCATGTTAACCAAATCTGCCTCCTCAGAAATCAGAATTTGTTTAATAGAAGTGCAGAGGACTCTGGTGAAAAGAAAATTTTATTTCTCACCTCCGTTTCTCTTTAAGAGTCTTATACTTTGCTTCTACGTCTTCCAAAGCTTTCTGTAATGCATCCTAGGGAAGCACATTTGGTTAGGAGAGAACATAATTCTATTAAATTAATGAAAGCTAGCTGATATTTATTATCCTATTATCCAAATGTTTCACAAGGGTAATAGTGATAGGTCACATTGCCTAATGCAATTGTACCACGGCAGCCACTCAATAAATACCTGAAAAATGATTCATTTCCAGCAGCTAAGAGGACACACCAAATCCTAGCCCGTGGTTCTCTTTATACACATATGCCAAAGTTCTCTCTCTGCCTTTTAGCAAAAGAGCCATTGCTCCCTGTAATGTCACACTGGCTTTCATACAAATTACATAAAAACTTAGCAAAGTCATACAATGTACTAGTATATCAAATGACTCTGACTTGTCTGTGAGAACAACAAAAACAACAAAATGCCAAATCCCATGATCAATAACTACAGCTTCTTCAGGAAAAACAAAGTTGTAATTAAAAATTTTTGTCAGGATCCCTGGGTGGCGCAGCGGTTTGGTGCCTGCCTTTGGCCCAGGGCGCGATCCTGGAGACCCGGGATCGAATCCCACGTCGGGCTCCCGGTGCATGGAGCCTGCTTCTCCCTCTGCCTATGTCTCTGCCTCTCTCTCTCTCTCTCTCTCTCTCTCTCTCTCTCTCTCTGTGACTATCATAAATAAATAAAAATTTAAAAAAAATAAAAATAAATAAATAAAAATTTTTGTCCGTCTCGTAAGAAATATCTCTTTTATACCAAGTTCCAGATATGCTGAATACTCCCCAAGCTGTCCCTTTTATAGGATATGCCATCCTGAGGCTTTCTCCCTTTCAGAGTACCTCAATACCAATGCCTACCTATCTCTCTTATCTTCTCTTTTAATTTGATATATTGGCTCATTCACTGCCGTATGTCTAGTACACTCCCTCTAACCAGCCAGAAAATAAACAATGTATTATTATTATTTCACAAATGACAACAGATTTTTAATGTGTTCCAGCCACCTGATGTGAAAGACAGGGCGGCTCATTTGGTGAGTATGCCACTACCGAACATTATTTTCATGGACTTTAAAGTAAAAGCAAATGGTAAATGATTGGTAAGTATTTCACTTCAAATTCAACCACTCAACTGCCTAGAGGAATGTAAGAGGTTGAAAGCCAAGGTCATTCTGCTTTGCTCTCTTTGCTGAACAACAAAGCAAGGTGGTCAAAGACTTCCCCACCCTTCCTGTCAATGCGCTCAGAACACAGAGCAAAGAGGCAGTGAGAGGTAAGGCTAAGGCAAGAAGAAAGAGAGGTCCTGACCCATTAGAAGGAGTCTGTTTCTCTTGTCTCTCAAATACATAAAGCCAAGGAAATTGATTTCTTAGAGACAAAATAAAAAAGCTTAATCCTTTCTTTAAAAATCAGTAACAGTAAGATAGGTCTACGTTTACCTTAAAATAATAATTGAAAAGGAAGAAGTAAGAGAATTTTGGGAAAGCCATACATAACTTTGGGGCATTACCATGTGCTACTCTTTGATTTCATTCCCTATTCATGATCTTTAGATATGAGAGAGCTCTTTATCAGACACAGCCCTGGTCCTTGAAAGTTCAAGGTCAAATCACAGGAAGGATTCATAGACTGAGTTTGCAGAAAAAGGATGAAGGAAAGGTGAAATGAAGCATTTTTTTCTCCATATACTTTTTTATTCCTCTATGTGCAAGGAAAAAAAGGTTAGCTTCATAATTCACCGTGGTAGAAAGCTTTGTACCACATTTTTGGTAAAAGGTGGCAAACTTACAATACATGTCCCACAGCAGTATTCTTTTTCTTAGTTGCCCTGCATTATAATTAATAATAATAGTTCTTTATAACCTATCTTACTCATGGGCGTATTGCAAGGATTACAGAAAATGTTTATGAACTGAGTTGAGCAACTCGTAAGAAAAGAGCTTTGTAAGCTGGAAGTACTGTTATTAATATTCATAATTATAGCACATAATTCCTAGCACCAGAAAAAAGGATGGCTTATTAGTCTTCTCCTTGCTTTCCCCATTTATTCAGGTCTGTAGGGAGCAATAATTTGAAAAGATATTTTCAAGGAAACTTGATAGGCTAGTTTTCTCTGCTAGTTTTTCATTATTTTCTCCTTTTCTCATATTACTTTTCTTTTCATTTTAAAGAAATGAGCTGCAGTACTCTTCCCCACTGTTCCAAATTCACCCCACGTTTCTTATCTTTGCTCTCAGACTCAGCCTCTGATCACCGCTGACTTTCCTCTCCTTTCTCTGCACGACTCCGTTCTGTTTACCTGGGCTAAAATCAACTTAAGCTTCTGAGCTTGTCTGTGTTTATAAGTTTAGGAAGTAAATGATAAGAGACAACCGTTTGCAGGAAAAAGCAAATGACATTTCGCCATTTAAGAAGACTATGTGTCATACCTTGGCAGAAGACAAAGAAGTCCTGTCAGGCTGGTTTACTGTGATTTGTGCTTCTTTCAATACGAGATTAGCTGGAAGCAGAAGCAAGGTAATTACAACACCAGGAAATTCTTTCAAGCAATTTTAAGTGAGCAGCATATACATACACACACTCCAGCTGTAACCAGTGAGAATGGTTCACAGACAATAATCTCTATTCCTTCCATAGCTCTCCCACATGCCAGGTGTAGGTAGTCACACTGGGCTTCCTCTTAGGCATTACAGTTGACAGGGCATAACTTTATACATACAAACTGAAGAGCTATGACTGAATGTCTGACTGAAAACTCTCTAAAATCCATGAAATATAGATTAAAGTTACTCCTTGCTCTTGGACCACTGGGAAAGGATGGCTTTGTCTTCACGTGGGGGGAGTAAACATGTGGAACATTCCTTCTTAAAGCGCATGTAGGGGTCTGGGTGGTTCAGCTGGTTAACTGTCTGACTTTGGCTCAGGTCATGACCTCAGGGTCCTGGGATTGAGTCTCGCATTAGGTTCCTTGCTTAGTGGGGAGTCTGCTTCTCCCTGTCACTTTCCTCTGTGCTCTCTAATAAATAAATAAATCCTTTTTAAAAAAATAAAGTGCATGCAATGCTACTCTCTAAAATGATCTAAATCAGCATTATGCCAATCAGAATCTCTAATATATATCAGTCTAGTTAAAGTGTGTACTTGGAATGATAGGAAGTAAATAATAAGATATAACAATAATAATGATGAATAACGCCATGATAAAACAAAGCTAGAAATAGAAAAGTGTGTTATAAAGTTCCTTAGAGGCAGGAATTTGATTAATTGTGGTCATTCCTACAATGCTAGAACAGTATATATATCTTAGAATAAGCACACAATTAATGTTGGCTGAATGAACAATAATGACTAGCCATACGTAATTACATACCAATCTTTACTGCTTCTTCTGCCTTTTTAACTTCATTTTTAAATACTTCTTTAAAAGAAGATGTGACATATAGATACTTTCTGAAAACAACAACAAAAAAACCATAATCAAGTCAGATTATCATAATACTTAATATCAAGGGAATATTCTTTAGGAAGAATATATACTCCAAATACACATAATTATTAATAAAGATTCATAGAATAAGTTGTATCCAACTGATAAATCAGCAAATTTTATACCTAGGAAGAAATTCCTTGTCTTTTAATAGTTGACAATTTTGCTTTTGTAAGGGAACTTCAGGAGAGAAATAACAAAATTTCTGCCCATACAAATGCTCAGGCAGAGGGAGAGTCTAAATCTATATGCTCTTGGCATGCCTGGGTGGCTCAGTTGTTTAAAGCATCCTACTCTTGATTTCAGCTCAGGTCATGATCTCAGGGGCCTGGGATTGAGCCCCAGCATCAGGCTCTGTGCTCAGCGAGGAGTCAGCTTGAGGGTCTCTCTTTCCCTCTCCCATCGTCCCTCCCTCTGTTGTGCTTTCTAAAATAAATAAACAAATTTTAAAAATAAAAAATAATTTAAAAATAAATAAATAAATCTATATGCCCTTGAGTCCAAGCCAGGGATAAGCAAATTATGGCTCATAGGCCAAAATGAGCCAGCAGCTTGTTTTTGGTATAGCCTGAGACCTACGAATGAGTTTTCAGGATTATTATTCTTTTTAAGGATTATTATATATTATATATATATATACGTATATATATACGTATATATATATACGTATATATATATATGTATATATATATATAAAGGAAAAAATAAGCATATGCAAAAAGAGATGGATGTGACCAGATATTTACTATCAGCCCTTTATCATGAAAAGGTTTGCCAGTCCCTGGAATCTATACTTATAAGCAATGGCTTTTGAATTGTAGCTTGATCTAGAATTGTATTTATATGGTCTGATTTTTAAATAATGCATGCAGTAATACAAATTTATCACTGTACAACAGGTCACATATAACTTAAATACCTATTAGCTCAAGTCTGTTTATAGTTTTAAGACTCTTGCATTATCTCAACAGACATGAAAAAAAAAAAAAGGTGGACTGCCTGGATCCCAATCCTGTCTGAATTAAAGGCCTTTGTGTCCTTTAGGAGTAGTGTAAGACTAGGCACATTCTTTTTTTTTTTTTTTTAAGATTTTATTTATTTATTCACCACAGACACACACACACACACAGAGAAAGAGAGAGAGAGGCTGAGACACAGGTAGAGGAAGAAGCAGGCTCCATGCAGGGAGCCCGATGTGGGACTGGATCCCCGGTCTCCAGGATCACGCCCTGGGCCAAAGGCGGTGCTAAACCACTGAGCCATTATTTCATTTCTTGTGACTCTACTTCCTTGTCTGCAAATGGGGAGAGTAACAGTGGTATCTATCTCACATGGTTGCTACGAGAATTAAAGTTGTCAATACACCTATTATCTAATACTATCTATTTATATCATATTAAGTACTTGCTCCCTCAATGTGTGCTTTAGAGGGGAAATATGTTAAGAATGAAGAAATGAGTAGCAAGGGGTGCCTGGGTGGCTTAGTCGGTTAAGCGTCTGCCTTTGGCTCAAGTCATGATCTCAGGGTCCTGGGATCAAGCCCCACATCAGGCTCCCTGCTTAGTGGGGAGCCTGCTTCTCCCCCCTGCCCCTCTTCCCACTCATGCTCTCTTTCTCTCAAATAAATGAAATCTTAAAAAAAAAAGGAAAAGAAATAAGTAGCAAGATAAATTCCTTTTCTCTTAAGACTCTGAAAAATTTGTTGAAGTTTTTCCAGTTACTTACATGAATAGGCTTAATGTTCAAAAAAATAGCTAAATGTCATCCTATATTCATCTACTTCGATGGTTTAATGAATAGATCAAGTTATAATAACTAACTTTGTCTCCTTATGACTAACTTTAATGTTCATTTTCCAGTGGGATTATATAGTTAACCACAAGAAAGGAACACCCATAAAATCTAAGGTAAGGTAATCCTCAGTTTTTTCCCTTGATTCTCTTTTACAATGAACATTAGTTACTTAAGTCATAACCAAGGTATATTCCAAATCAGTCTCTATAACATTTAGAAAACAGCAGAACCTAACCTTTAAAGTAAAAAAAAATATTGGTCTCTATCTACTGGAATTACCATTTTTCTTTAAATCACATATTAATTACCTAATCTGGTTTGAATCATTCATTTTAAAGCATTTTTTAAAATAAAGCAGAACTGAGGAGAAACTTTGAACAATGAAGTGATCCTTTAAAAATGCTATGAATCAAACTATTCAAGCATTTAATATACTCTGTGTTTACAATCCCAGAAAGTAAAAGTGGCACAAGAGGTGCCAACTGCACGTTAATGTTTAATTTTAAAAAACAAAGACCAAAACAACATATACTCTCTTCAGTGTCACTGAGACAATCAGGTTCCAGGTGATCTGGAACATCTCAGATGATCTGCATAGTTTCACAATTTAAATTTTACAGTTGTTGGGATGCCTGGGTGGCTCAGTGGTTGAGCATCTGCCTTTGGCTCAGGGCGTGATCCCGGGGTCCTGGGACTGAGTCCTACATCAGGCTCCCCTCAAGGAGCCTGCTTCTCTCTCTATGTCTCTCATGAATAAATAAGTAAAATCTATTTTAAAAGTTTATAATTGTTTAAACAATTATAAAAAGTTAAAAAAGAAATATATGTACTTGTGGAAATTCAGTATAATGAATCCATCCATTCTCATAAGGAAAGAATTTTCAGTCAATCCTCATCCATAATTAGGAATCTACTTCAGTGGACACTTCTCATTTTTCCTACTGGTGGACTCTTGCAGAATAAAAATGCCCTTAAAAGTCAGAGCAGGGGATCCCTGGGTGGCTCAGCAGTTTAGCGCCTGCCTTTGGCCCAGGGCGTGATCCTGGAGTCCCGGGATCAAGTCCCTCATCAGGCTCCCTGCATGAAGCCTGCTTCTCCCCCTGCCTATGTCTCTGCCTCTCTCTCTCTTTCTGTGTCTCTCATGAATAAATAAATAAAATCTTTAAAAAGAAAAAAAGTCAGAGCAACATGCCTGGGTGGCTGGGTCAGTTAAGCATCTGCCTTTGGCTCAGGTCATGATCCCAGGGGTACTGGGATCAAGCCCCATGTTGGGCTCCCTGCTCAGTGGGGAGACTGCTTACCCCACTCCGTCTGCCCCGCCCCCCTGCTTATCTGCACTTTCTCTCTCAAATAAGTAAATAAAATCTTAAAAAACAAAGCCAGCGCAATGCATGCCCTGGAAGACAAGGAAGAGAATCCATCCGGCTGTCTAGTCTTCCTTCCTTGCAGCTGAGGGCAGGGGAATCATGTTCCCCCTAGAACTGCACCTCCAGTTCCTCAATGGCTAGAATTCTTTCCAAATCCATTTCCCAAACTTCACTTTGACTTGACACCTCTGCTCCCACACTGTTTCTGCCTTCTCTCGAAACTACCACGTTCTGACACATTTTCGGCCTTCGCTCTCCCTCAAACATTTCACCTTCTACTTCCCTGTTTCTTTCCATCAGTGAAGCTGCATTCAAAGACCTGATGTTCACTTTCTACATAAAGCAATCTACTGAATACTGTCTTCTCAAGGAGCTGAAAAAAACATAAGGTCAATGAAAACACTGAGGGAAATGAAAACTAAAACGATATATATGTTTTACTCCTTAGAATGGCAAAAATGAAAAAATAAAACATTATTAATAGTAAATGTAGATTTGGAAGCAGAAAAGGGCCCTTGGTGTAAGAATAAATTGGGTCTACTTCTTAGAAGGTAAATTAATGGTGTGACTATATTCTAGCTCAAAAATTTACTTCTGTAGTCTGTTCCATAGAAAGAATGGCAAATTAGCATAAAGGCACATCTGTCCAGTGATGCCCAAGTATGTCCAGTTCAGTATTGTAACAATAAAAACTCTAAAAATCTTAAATATATACAATAAAGTTAAATAAACCATAGAGTACTACATAATATATTTTAAAAAGAGAGAGGTCTCCAAGAAAATTTGTAAATGAAAAGACCAAGCTGCATATGAATTTTTTATGTTTTAAAAAAGAATTCTAAGTATAAAAGTTGTGTGCATGCACACATGCATGTGTGTAAATATGTGTAAGACAATCTGGAAGAGTATTTATAAAATTTCTAGCAGAGGTTCCCATTTGGGAGATTATGAATTGTTAGAGGACAGAGTGAATGACAAGTGGTACGGGAGGATTTTAGTTATTTGATTTTTTTCCAAGATCTAACTCTGTACTATTTGGATCTTTATTAATTTTATACTTTTAAAAGCAAAATAAAACTATTCCCCCTCAAGAGAAATAAAAATATGAAAAAAACAGTAATTTTAAGGTTTTATGTTGCGGAAGTATAGAATATAGCATAATAAATCATTCTGAGTGACTATTTCAATCATAACAATCTGTAAAAATTAAAAATTTATTGGCATTTAGTATTCACAAGTACAAAATTTGTGAAAAACATTTTGGCTAATACAAAATATAGTAGTTAAAATTTTTGAGTTGGTAAGACAGACACAAGTAAAGAAAACTGCGATTCTGAACCTTTATTATGAAGAAAAACTTAGCCCACAGTTATGAACTATAACTATGTTGCAGTATTCAAGATCATAATTATTCTTGTTTTAAATTATGTGAGTTTACTTGGTTTAGTGACACCATAAAATAGTTATAGTACTTAATTATACATCAAAACATGTAATAAGGCATGATCAAAAATTTTCTGCCCAGTATAATGTTGATAGCTCGACCTGGAAGTTACATGGACCACTCAAACGTATTACATCCAGAACAAGGAGAAAGGATTCCATTCACCATCACTCCTCACCCCTACCCTGCATCTTCCCTATCATTCCTAAGGTTGTGTTCAGGCAAAAAACTTAGAAGGCACTCCTGACTCCTTATTTCCTCTCCACTCCACATCCAATCCATCAGCAAGTGCTGGCTCTGTCTCTACAGCATCCTATAATCCAAACACTAGTCATGACTCTACCATTCTACCACTACC